TTAACCATGGAGCTCTCATTAGGCAGCAGCAGGTAGTCAGTTTTAGCTTTTAGCAACTCAATAACCGGATATTTTCATCAAGAGCTGGTTGAATCTGAATGGGACTGTGAAGAATTTCCACTCATTTGAATTCTTGTTTTACCCTGGACAGGATTATGTCTAAGGTAATGAAAGCCCTAGGACCCTTTGACAGTTTTTCTAAATATTCTATCAGGAAATTTAGGGTGACTTTTAATTCAGCGTTTACTTAGGTTGCTCATGTTGAATGGTTTTGCACACTGTCCTTCTATGGACCCAGTGACACCGCTTTTTCAATAATGTTTTTGTTGTAAAGCACTTTGTGATATTTATCTTGGACGGTGCTACGGAAAGAAAAAATATTGGGGCAAAGTCTCAACAAATACCTGACAAGGAATTCACCTGGTAAAACAGGTTGTTATAGAACAGAGTTTTAATTGCTGAAAGGGGGTTTTGTTTGGTTTAATCCAAATCCAGTTGTAACCTCAATGTCTGTACTGAATAATTTTACTTTTACATCTAGAATTTTTTTTATACCTGGTGTTGTTACTCAACATAATCTGTAATTTAAAAACTGCATTCTTCTTCTTGAGTTTGCCAAATTGGTTTCATATGAAAAAAATGACATACCAGCAGGTAGCTCTCTGTTTCTTAAGGAGTAGCAAAGTGACTGAAGACTACACACACGTAAGCTAACCTATTTATTTAGAAATAAAATGTGATACAATGTTTACAATGTGGTTTATCATTTGCAGTATTGGGAGCAACACATTCCATTTAATCACATTACATTTCTCAGTGATGCAGCAGCATACCACGCCACAGTGATTACATTACATTTACAATTATGCTATCACTTGCGTTACAAAGGTTCAAACCAACAATTTTTTTCTTCTTTTTGTGCACTTGTGCTACAATCGGCTGATTTTACAAAATAGTGGGGCAATCTACCGCTTTTCAGAAGTGGACACCTGTGCACTGGGTTTATTTTTATTGCACAAAGAGACAAGACCACAATGGCACAAACTTCCCCCAAGCCAGAAATAACTACATTGCACTGCTAGCACAACGTTAGCTCTTTGTAAGCATCTGCACAAAAAGCCATAAGCTAGCCAAGAACCCAAAATGATGTTAAAGCTGAGTGCCAACCCCAGCCCAGGACCTAGAGCCTAAACTTCAACAGGTAGTAAAGGCAGTGATGAGCAGTCAGGCTTGTAGCACTGTAGCGTCCATTTTGACATTTACATGTTTTTACAGTAAAATGCTGTGAAATGGCATGTTGCATAAAACCTTTGTGGTTTTATGGAGAAATGTGGTGCATGTCTACGACTGTGATGCCATTTGTGTGTGGTTACAAAAATGTTCTTGACAAATTTTTAAAAACCACAAACAGAGGACATAAAGAAGAAGTTTAGTGACTGCAAAACTCCTCAGACGGTGTTAAGTTTGGGTCTAGTTACAAATGAAGAAATAAAAAAGAGAATACTGAATATAACAGAGGGCCAAAGAGCTCATCAGCATGCACCAAACCTTTTACATTCAGTGGATGAGAATCTCAGTGCTCTCGCCACTTGACCTAGTGTGCCTCCTTTCCTCTAGCATACTGCTACTAGCTAAACTGTCACAGGGTAATGTAAGCCAAATGTGCAAGTAAGGGGGGAGAGAATGATTATAAATATATAAATGTTGTGTTCATATTATATAAGTGTTTTTTACATTACACATCACCCAACTTTTTTTGGAACTGAGGCAGTACTTTGCACGGCTAATGTAGCTAATGTCACCATTAGTTTTGATCGTGTGTACAGAGTTTAGTCCAACCTGTTTTAAAGGGACAATAATTTAGAAATTGTGCCTCAACTTTGAGAATTTCCATGCAACCTCAATTCTGCTGTTTGTTTGTTTTTCCATCATTTCCTGCTGGAATACATTTTTGAAAATCGAATACGATTGCGTTGTATGGCATAGCAACTGCAGTCTCTCTACTTCTAGGTCTGATTCTGACCTAGAACATTCAAAAATACAATAAATAGTATGGTCCACAATAAACAGCACAGTTGAAATAAAAGGGGCTTATACTATGAAGTAGTGTGGGAATTTATATATCTACAACAGTGATAAAAACAAAGAAAAGTAAAAAAGGAAGTTAGTTAAAAGTAGTAAAAGTAAGACTGAAGACTGACATTGTGGAAGACAGAAGTGCAAATTGCATTAATAAATATTAGATCAGAGCAGACTAGGCTTAGAAAAGGCTTGACAGGACAAGGGCAAAGACAGAATATTTCAGACAGAGAAAAAAAGATGTGCCGCTCGTTTTTTTTAATATTTAAGCATGTAAAACAATCCTAGCAGACTTCTAAAATAAAAAAAGAAAATGATATTATTGGCCTGTAAATGATAACAAGGAATTTTTTTTTCAACAAAACTCAAACAAAGTAAACGGCAGTACAAATGTTCTTAACCATCAGGTCACAAAGTGGAGCTAAATCAGCCTGCATGACATCACCTTATGAAATTAAAGAACCATTTTTGGATAATTAGTGCGAAAGTGGCCCTTGTACACATTTTGTCTTTCATCTCTTTGCAGAAAGCTGCTGAGCAAACGGGCAGAAGGGCCAGCTTGCTGTTAGTTAAGATGGTTTGGACCCAGCGACAGTGCAGACCATCTAAGTCAAAGTGGCTTAATTGAAAACTCTGTCTGAATGTTGCCTGGCAACCAAATCTTCCTCTCTGTAAAAGAGAGGAAAGGATTTAAGGTTGTGCTTTTTAAACTGCTCTTATTGCTTTCTCTCTGAAGGAAGGCAGTCATCCCACATGTACGATATCATGAAGCGAACACACACACACACACACACGTGCGCCTGGGGATGTGATCAGGAAAACATCCTGCCGCAAAATATGTTGAAAACACTGGCTTTTTAAAAATTGTTTCAGTGAGTGTCGCTCACTTTTGGTTATAACCTCAACAAGAGGGTATGACCAAAAGAAACTGGCCATAGACTGAATTTCCTCATGTGTAGTTC